AAGCAAAAACTGTTTCCCAGATGTTCCTGGAAAAATGAGAAAACATGGTCCCACTAGGTTGCATTATGGTCACATTTTTTATTTTTACCAGCCATTACAAACTTTCAACAAAATGGTTGCTTCACTGAATATGGATTCATGTAAATTTCTGGCACCAACTGTGCATTACCTTCTCTAGAACATAAAGTTGGTTTTGGGTTTTTTTTTCCTCTATGAACATTTCACGGCTACACCAAAAAATTTGCTTTCCTGCTCCCTGTGGCGGCATATGTATTTTTCTTTCTGACTAATGTGCAGAATCCGTACCTTGACTTGCACATAGAAATACAGCCAAAACAACCAAAGAGCATTAGCTGAGCATACACATCTTATTTTTATGATGGCTTTTAATCTTAGTTTGCCAGCAAACAGAGGCTTTCTTACCTAACCATATAAAAATACTTTTATTGTTAATTGCTTGTCTGATTGCTAGCCTGTTGCAAAGAGAAACTATGAAACCTGACACTAAAACAATCAGCAATGGTTAATGGCTAAATCACATTAGAAGTGTTCATTAATTAAAATCTGTTGAATGTCTTTGCACTCTGTATTTAGTTGCAGGGCTATTAGCGTTGCCAAAGTATACCTCAGAAAGAAATGCAGAAAGTTTTTTCAATTGAACATCTTAAAATTTGCCTGATCTATTAAAAAAAAGTGCGTTTGTTTTACGTAAGGCAATATTAGGTGCATAAAGTAAAAAAACCCCAATGATTATGCTGTTGGGCCAGATTATATAAACCTGTTATATTATTGCAATAAGGACAACAGTGACTTGGCCTATGATAGTGGCTTTCTTGTAAAAATGGCACCATTTCAAATTTATGTTCTCTAGCTAAATGACTTTGTTGTAGCATTGACAAAGAAACAAACACAAGCCAAATGCAGTCAAAATTAAACACAAACAGAAACCTTAGCTGTTTATTTGCTGGGTAGAACCCAGAATGTTGTTTTTCAAAGAGCATTTATTTAATAAATGTGCTTCCCTGTATTCTTACTGCTTTTTCAATGCAAAAATTTTATCTTTAAAACTTTAAGCACATTATGTGTGTAAAAATATTTATGGACATGTAGCTTCTAACTGCAGTATGTGCAGTGGAGTAAAATCCTACTTAAATATTGATAATCCAAAGCTCTAGACCAAAGCACAGAGAATTCTTCTGTGTTTGGGAGATTGCCTGAGTAATAACTATGGTGGCTGTGAGTTTCTTTTTTTCTGCATTATTTTTCACCATCAGGAATCTCTCAGTTCTCTGAATCTTTCCTTCCTGATTAGTTGAAATGGGTTCTGTCACTTGTATAGGTGGGATAGGTTGCTGCTTCTTCTGCACACTTAGCATCTTGCAGTGGACCGAGAACAGCACTGATACAGCAATATCATCTGCAGCTCCAGAGGGGACAGAGTTTGCTCCTTTATATATTTCTTATTGCCTGTGTGAACATATTATTGTGGCATGTTTCACCAAGATTTGATTCAAGGCATAAAAGCAGAAAAAAAAACCAAATTAAAGGTGATAAAATTTAAACTATGTGAAAGCTTAACTAATTTCAGTTGTGGAAGTAATTTATGTAATTTCTGTTTGTGATTGCTTACATCTTTCATAAAAAATTTTCATCAATAAGATTGTTGGGAGCAAATTACGGAATTTGACAAACCTCAGAACTGTGTTATGATGGTCAGAAATGAAGTGCTGAGTGGCAGAGACTGTCAGTGTAAGAAATTGATTTCTGGGAACTGGGAGAGCATTTTATTTTTCCGTTCCCTTCATTTACTTTTATTTGGTGAGATTACAATCACACTTAAAGTGACCTGTAAGGGAAAGAAAAAGAAAGGTATGCCATTTCCCCCTTTTTTGTGTGTAAACAGGGAAGGGGAATACTGACTATTATATATATATATTTTAAATGTATGTACGAATTTCAGATAAACCTCAATAAGTGATTAAATTAATTTATACCACCATAAAAAAGTCTTGAAAGCTGAGCATCAAGATTGGAAGCCATGTTAGACACTGATTGACTCTTTTTATTAAGGAGTATTCAAGTTTAGTGTCAGACAAACGTGGGCTAAATGATGCATTTATCAAAGAATCAGCATACACCTTTGAGTTTTGAAATCTTGAAATAAGTATCTATAGCAGTCTTCAGGAATTCTCAAGTGAAGTAAGATAAGAATAGACATTGTATATCAAATATTTCTAAACAAGCAATGCAGTTATTTCTGAAGTCCTTTGAAATGAGAGCCAGCTAGACAAATCAAACACAATCTCAAAGAAGTCAACAGTTTCACTTCTTTATTTTCCTTTGTGTATAAAGTATATAATGGAAACAAAATGGAACAGCCTAGATGAAATACTCTTACAAAAATTTCACTGCTCTATGATGAGCCTTATCTTATTCCAGCCCTGTCCCATTGTATGGTGTTCTGTACAAACCTCTTCTGTCTTAGAAGATTACAAAACAGAAGTGAAACCTGGTACATCACCTGCTGTTTGAGGTGTACTAGTTGAAGAAACCACTGACCTCTCCATTCATATTTGGTATCAAACTTGGGACAGCAGTTGTGAACTGCGGGAAATGTCCTACTGGGATGGTGGGGCCAGAGCCTGAATTCTGCCAGAGGGGAGGTATGGCTTGGTAAAGAGAGTGCTTTATGTAGGGACAACAAAATAGAGAACTTGTAACTGGTGTATGAGTTACAGAAGGTGAGCCAACAAAACTTAAATATGTGAGACAGTTCTAATAGCTACATCTCTTCATGCTTTGTAATTATTGTGGGCAAGCCACAAAGGGTCCTTTTGTACTTCTGTTCCTGCAACATCCAGACTCAAGCTTCCTGTATACTTCCTTGTCATTGTTCCCTATTTCAGTTATTCTCTGTAGCCTATGCCATGGCCTCTGAGTGCACTCCGTGGTTGCTTCCCCGTTACTGTTTTTATTCTCCTATATGTGCAGGAGGTTATTCATGATATCATCTGCAGGCTGAGGCTGTTGTACTTGCTACAAGGCTGGAGTCCTCATTTGTGTCATCTACCCCCTTTATCACTTTCACTCAAAGCCACCAGGCACTGTCTGCTAGTGTCTGGGTACACAGCAAAATATGTAATTGGTGAGACAGTTAATTTCTGGTCTTAATTCCTTACAAACCAACCATCAAGTTGAGGATAATGTCCATTTCCCATGCCTAGTGGCAGGTTAAAGATTATTATATTAAAGGTTAGGTATAAGACTACCTTTCAACATAAAAAAAGAGTTAAGCTTCAAACCATACAATTTAGGTGTTTATAAGAACAGGCTCAGAAAGCATGTGTCGAAGACAGATGCAACATAATATTCATCAGAATTGCATTCCTGTTCAACATAGTAACCACCAGCTGCAGGTTGTGTGGATTATTCTGAACCCTGCTGAGCAGGAGGAGAGATGTTGGTGAGGCACTTCACTGCCAGATGGGGCCACGGGAGACCTTGCATGACAGCCAGTTGATCTCCTTCCCTTCACTGAGGTTTTTGCCCTGTAAGAATGAATAAAATTTTTGCAATAGCCAAAATAAATGACCAGTACAAGCCACACACTTTTTTTTTTTTTTTTTTCCTATAGTGAAATGCATTTCTGCAACCCACATTCCCTTCCCTGGGAATTGCCCCATTATTCCTATGCAGCAAACATGCTACAACTTCAGGTACTAGAGAACTAACACTCCTTAAGTGAGATATTATCCATTCCTCTAGACATCCCAGATCCTGCTAGCACCATATCTTGCCCTGATGTTTGATATGGCCAGGTAAGAAAGCATGAAATAGAAGCTATTGGGTCATCTGCAAGTTATCTCTAAATATGCAAACATTCCTCTAAATAATTTTCATGTACTATAATGCACAGAACTGCCAAAGCCATGGCAGCAATGTGCCATACAGAAAAAGAAGAGACAGCACAGTGCAAGGACATGCCGTCTCCTTCCCCTTTAGTTTGCTCTTCCTGTCCTGAAGTGACCTCTAATTTGGATTCAGCAGCACACAGTGTGAGAAGGAAGAGGAGGCTACTTTTATTGGCATATCCAGAAAGTGGGGGTATTTTGGTGGGTGCTATGATTCTTTTCCTTTCTGAACATAAGAAAGCCTTTTACCTCTCTCCTACGGTTGCTTTCTCTCCCTCTGTAGATATTGCCATTATCGTTACTCTAGTGAATGTCATCATTATATTTTTAAGTCATTAAAAAAGAAAAAAGAAAGTCTCTTCAGCAAGCTTAACATAACTGACTGAATTTAATTCAATTTTGCTTCTGTCAGACATGGGAAGTGCTATGTTGCCTAAGAAATAAAAAAGGGCAGTTTCCTTAATTTTTTTCTCCTTTTTTTTTTTGGTCAGAGTATGGAATTTGTAACTCTGGTTAGACAATGGCCCCCTCAGTGGCAGACACTCATTTCAGAGACAATAGACTTTGTCCTAACTCTGTCACTGTGGCCATATCAAACCATTATTGTGGCTGCAAACCAAGAGAAGAAGTAAGACCCCTTTTTATTATTGTTTTTCTATGTAGCCTCTGTAACTTGGCAGGGTTCTTTCAAATGTGATTCCACAAGTCTTAAATGCAACATATAATATTGTATTATTAACCTTGTATTTCGTAGCCCTTTGATATGATTCCCTTGCAAATGCTTGAAGTTTACACAGATCTATCAGGTAGCTTTAAATGCATTCTACAAAGAAACCTTAAATAATACAGCTACTTAAAGGGGTTTTCGTTTACACAGAAATTTAGTCTGCTAGCATATACCATCTTGAAGGAAAATGTTTTGTTTGTGTCCCAGAATTAATGTTTTGTTACTGATGGTTTGTTTTTTTTCTTTTATTGTTGTCATACAGCTCACAAAGAAATTAATTTTTACTTCAATTTATTTTTTGAGTGTTATGCAATTTTCTAGTAAGAGTGTAAACATTAACTGTGTCTATTCTTTTCATTTAGGCACCTTTGTTACTAAAGTAACAGCTACAGATGCAGATGATCCAGTTTATGGAAATAGTGCCAAGCTGGTTTATAGCATTCTGGAAGGACAACCTTACTTTTCTATTGAGCCACATACAGGTAGGTGACTCTGATTATGAATCCCCGGATTATGAAATGGTCTCAAGTTGTGCCGGATTGTTTAGATTGGATATTAGGAAAAAAAATTGTCACTGCAAGGGCTGTCAAGCACCGCAACAGGCTGCCCAGGGAAGCAGTGGAGTCACAGTCCCTGGAGGTATTAAAAGATAGAGCACATGGAGGTGTGGTTTGGTGGTAGACTTGGCAGTGCCAGGAACATGATGATCCTAAAGGTCTTTTCCAATCTAAAAAATTATATGATTCTATTTATACAAGTGACTGCCTCTCATGTGTTTTATATAATATACCTAAACAGGGAGGGTAAGTAGATGTCTGTCAGTAATACCAAGTTGGAACATATGTCTCACTTGTATTCCATCAGAGTCTGATCATGTGAAAAGACAAAGAAAAGTCTGCATTAATGATAATGAAAGCACTGGTGATGCTAATATAACAGAATTTACTAAAGCAAAACTGGAGGTAGTGAAGTGCCGTCTGACTTACAACTGATTGGGGATTGAAAGACTTGGCCTGAGGAATTTAATGAGCATAATTTAATTTTCAATATAAGACTATAGTATTTCCAGTTACAGAAAGTAGAGTTTAGCTTGGGAATTTTAGTGAATGTATCGTGTATTTTCAGTAAAAATTAATTTTCTTTCTTGATGGGATGGACTGGGGGAAAAAACACCATACTGAGTGTTGGTATGAAGATTTATTAGCAAGCAATTAGGATGACTTTATTTCTCTGTGGGTTTAAGGACTTGAAAGTAATCTGAAAAAACTGCCAATAAATCCATTCCCTCTTGTTTTCTGTACATATGTCGTATTTACAGCAAATTCATTTTGTTATATTTGATAAGTGTTTTTTAAAGTGATTTGATGCTATTTCTTATATTCTTTCACCTGTTACTAGAAACTATTTTTAAGCACTGTGAGTCAAGTATCTGTTATCTCCTAAAGAGGAGAAAACTGTAGCTCATTTTTAAACATACACAAGAAAATCTGAGTTTTTAGGACCATAAAGGATTAAATAGGAGTAAAAATTCTTCTCTTCATGCAGATTAACAAAATTATGAAATAAACGCTAGGAGAAATTATTTAAAGATGCTTTCGATAGATGAAGTGTGCAAAGTTTTCTCACCAACATTAAATAGAGTATTCGTAGACTCTTAAAAGTCTGGAAGTTTTTTAAATCTTTCTGGTGAGATTGCATGGAAAAAATTATTTCCCATTCCTAGAAATGTCCTAACTCGCAGGGACTTTAGGTAAATAGTATAGGTTGGTAAATATTAATAGATTGATGGATGAATCCATTAAAGTATTTTCTTCTGGTTGAAGTACATCTATCCTAAATGTGAACACAATCTCTGGAATGTGATTCACTATTTTATCTTATGCTCCATGTAAAGTAGAAGTTTACAAAGAATAACTTTAAAACAGCATAATGGAGAAACAGTCGCCTGTTTCAAAAGTAGGTATGTCAAGAGGCTGTTATTAATGAAGTCCCTTAGTTCATGCTGGCTGATTTGTCACAAGTCATTTGGAAATATAACTCTGTCACAAGTCAAAATATAACTCTATTTTGATAATAGGTATCAAAATATATGATTTGGTTTTCTTTAATGTTACAAATTATTGCATGCAGTAATTACTTGAGTTAGCTGTCTTAATTTGAGGGGTTTAGCTGTAAGCTTTTTCTCATTTTCTGCTAGAGCAAATCAGTGCTTTAGTATGGGAACACACCAGTTTTCACAGAGGAGCTCAGAAATGCGTTCTTGACTTACATAGAAGATTTTTCACTTCTTTCTCACAAAAGTAGCCTGACAGAAATATTCCAAATATAAAAAAAAATGTTTAATTTTACTCAGATCTATTATTTGTATTGCATGAAAGCGTTATGATTAATCCAATGAAATAACTAACTATTCATCACCTAGGAAAGTGATTTCTATTATGATGAAAGCCAGAGAAAAATCCAAAGCTTTTTGGTGAATCTGAAAATCATGATTCTTCTCCTGTTTCACTAGCATCAAATTTTCCCTCCTACCTTCCTTTCTAGTTACAAATATTCCTTCGAGTAGCAGTTCAGTTGCCATGAAAATGACATGTTAGTTTCTAAAGGGAATTTAGTCACAAAGAATTCAGCTGTGGTTTTGCCACAGTCCCTGGGTAAGTGGCTTCATATTACGGAGCTGCTTCTGAATTAGTAAGTGGCTTCAGATCCTCATTTTTCTAGACCTATAGAAGACATCGATTATGTTCTTCTCTAAACGGTTACAACTACATGAGTTTAAGTACTGAGGCCATACTTTGTTTCTTTGTTTCCCTATGTAATGGCCTTCATCTGTAGAGTAACTACCATTCTAATCTTACAGCTACTCACCAAAGAGTTTGTTAAATCCAGAGAGTATGCAGTTGTTCTATGACTTTAGATGGACCTATCCAGTGCTTGCAATGCTTTAAAATTTGCAGAATTTCCTTTTGTGTCTGACATGTGTCTTCATTCACTTAAAGAAATCTTAGACATCCATACTAAATGTTCAATCATGTAGAACCCTCCAGCATGTATTTGTTTAGGATATGTAAACAATAAATATATGTAAAAATGTAGTCATTAAGCAAACCAGATGCAGGTAGTTATATAGAAACTGAAGCTTTATATTACACAGGGTAAGAAAGATTGCTGTAAAACCCAGCAGCCTCATAGTGTGGTTCTGAAGAAAAATATTTTCAGGAAATGTAAAGAACTATGCAGAATAATTTCTTTCTTTGTTGTTTTTTTTTCCTTTTTTTTCATTTCTAGAATCAGAATTTTGGAGGAAAGGTATGAGCAAGGGTTTATTACATACAAGAGAGAGAGTTTTATAGGTTGTTACAGGCAGTCTCAAAATACCAACAGTATTATGGTAAGATAGCTACAATTTTGCAGTAGCTTGTGGCACTGTATATTTCACCTTTTAAAGGCAGTGGTGCATAAAACAGGCACACTTGTTTAGCAGCTATATAATTTGCACAGTAGTGCTGATACCAGGGACAGATAGAGTGGAAGGCAAAAAGAAAATGTCCAAAGCAAATAGAAAGTATGTAGATGTTTGACTGGTTTTTTTACATTTATCGAACCTTAGCAGTATGAACCATCACAACTCTTAGTAAGCTGGCCACAAAAACACATTATCTTACACATTTGTATGTAGTACTTTGGAACCTCATGTGAGAAGATGTTTGGGTACTATTGTGGCAGTGTACAAATTAAAACAGAACAGACAGGTATAGTAGTGTCTTATCCAAAACAAATCAAACCTGACAGTGATCCTCCAAGCATGGTAGATATTTCAGATTTTGGGGTTTGTTTGAGCTTTCTGTTGGAAGGATGTGGACGTTGTATAGCTACATTTTCTCTGTGGTTACATTTCAACAGTGTCCCTGCTAAGCTGAAAGTCTTTCCAAATAATTTGAAACACAAACTGTGTTTCTGAACACAGGTATTGTGTCTAGAATTGTGTCTTTCCCCAGATGGAATCACTGTTTTAAGAAATGGACTATGTTAATGGGATCCACTTCAGAATGAAAATATTTTCTGTCATTCTTAGGAGTGTATCAAATGCTACAAAAAGTGTAGCTACTTAGAGCTGAACTACTTACTGTTTTTCTAGATGACTGGCCTTTTATTAGCTTTGTTTATTAGAAATTAAAACTCGATTTAGATCTGTGCAGCTACGAGCACCAGTGCAGCAACAGATGCCTATAATTTCTTTTCATTTCCTGCCTGAGACTAAAGATTGTCTGACCTTGCTGCTTTGTTTTAATGATATGCTGGGAGCTGATCATCAGGAATAATCCGAGTCATGCCCCCTGATTCCTCTCCCTTCTGTAGTACTCTGAACAAAAAGAGGGAGCAAAGGTGTAGGATATGGCTTCATGCCTGTGGTAGTAAGGGTTGCTACACTTGAGGGTAAGTGTGAGGAAAACAGTTGCTTACTCTTCTGCTTTTATGTTCCTACCAACTTGACATTAACTAGGTGTAGTCCTTACCTGAATCACACTCTTGCTTGAAACACTGACATTACTTTCAACCTTGCTGAAACAATTCTATAGTGCTGGGTGCACAGAAATAAGTACTGGTAAGTGACCCATAAAGCAATAATTTTCCATTACCTTAGATGAAAAATGCATATACTTCTGCAATTCTAGTGTGCAAGTTCTTCTGTATGAGTTATTAGACACATGAAAGAAGGTAATTGAGACATTATTTTTCATTCAGTGCTCTGAATATGGCATAGGGTAAATGCTTTTCTGATGGCATGCTCTGAATATTTTTCACTTTTAATAGGTGAATTTTGTGGATAGAGAGTAAATATAAATAATACATTACAAAAATACATATTCAGATTTTCTATTAGAGGCTAAACTTACAATGTGATAACATCAGATTAGTAACAGAACTCATGGTGAACCAATATGTTGTCCATAAATCATTATTGTTACATCTGACTGACTGATGTCAGGTTTCCTGACTTGTATGTTTTATTTATATAGGTAGCAGGTTGTATGTATTTTCTCATAATCCAAATAACGACAGTCAAAATGCTGGGGAAGGGTGTCCTTAATACTGCTAAAAGTAGCTAAAGTATACTTCTCATTCTTAAGCTTTTCCAAGGATATTAAATCATGACTGTCAGCTTTAAAATAAGATTATCATAATGGAATGTAATATCAAGTGACACTGTGTTCTACAATATAGGAATGGCAGAGAAAATAAGTTTTCAGCTGTGTCTGACTTATTTACATTTCACATGAACTTAATAATGTCACTCCTACACATATCTGGAATATGGTTACTGAACAAGGCAAATTACGCCCAACACCCTGCTGCAATGGCAAACACATTGTCTTATTCAAGCATAAGCACTTACTTTATATGAAAAAACGGATTTTAAACCCTGCCATCTTGGATATGGTCATTTGGTACAAAGCCAAAGTTCAATTTAGAAAAGCTA